TACAATTCATGACTTTTGTCCTAATGAGACAGTAGCGATCACCCGCCTATTTTCTCACAGATGGCTCAGATATTAGATTTGCATTTGAATTCCTCTAAATAAGAATCAGTAATTGTTATCTTGTATTCCCCGAGTGGCATCACACATTCAACACACGTTTACTTTGAAGCTCTACTGTTTATATGCTGCTCAATTCATTTTTTGCTCTTCTTAATTTCTCATTGATGTGCTACATGCATTTTTCTTTAGCCAACCAGCTGATGATAGGTATATTATTTGCTGTCTTCTTTTCGCTAGAATATTTCACAGATCATTTCCAAATCTAATTCTCAGGTCTTCATCTTTCTCACTATTCTTTGTCCTACTATTTCCAGTCTCTTAAATCATATCTCTTCAAAACTAAAAAAATAGCCCTTAATCTCTGCTTATGATCATGAGATCTTTTGTATTGTATCCACATATAGAAGGACTTAGGTTCAAGAAAAGCAGAATCAATTAAGCTGAAACAACAGAAATATGCCTCTCAATTTCCTTTGACGGCAAAGAGGGTATTAGATCTTTCCTTGTTTCTGTAATAAGGTAATAATACCTGGGGGTGTTTTAATTAGTCAGAGTGGGCTGTGGTGACTGTTAAGATGTTTTGACTTTAAATGAAGAGCATGTTGAAGGCCACTGCGACCCTTAAAATGCAAGAAATTTAAACTGAAACAAGCTGAATTTTAGCCATGGAAGATAATATGACTTCAATAAATATATGGTAACATCAGAAGTATTAGGGGACATAAAACTACACATTGTAAAAAAAGAATATATTAAATCAGACAAAAGAAACCAGAAAAACAAAAGGATGTTTTGCAAGTTAATTCTATTGCACTTAGTTATAACAACTGCTGGCCATCCTATATTACCAGGCAAAGAAGTTGCAAGTTATAAAATTATAAAAGACTGATAAGAAAGATTGGTTTTGTAAAACCTGGTCTTCTAATATTAATAAAAAATGCCAATTTCTTATCTTAAGTTCAGTTGAAATAAAGTCGTGCCTTTTGCAATAACTGGAGTGTCTTTATAATGGATTAAGAACTCTTTTAGAACCTGAGAGAATTCAGACCCTATTCTAGCATGGAACAATGAAAAGGTAATGGGATCCTATCGCTAGGTCTTATCCATGGGTCTTATTTTTCTTCTTTCTCTAATATTCACATTTCTTATCAAATAACAGTTTCATTCTTTTTTTATCATTTCTACATTTCACCATCTTATTCATCGATTTTCAATCTCAAAAGAACCTGTCCTTTTTTTAACCTCTGGAGTATTGTCCCTGTACCAATCATCTCATCACAATTAGCCTGCTGTCCAATCCCCATTCACTTTCATTTTCATCCAGAATATCGTAGATACAGGCTTTTCTTCTGCCCTTCATTGGCCTCCTTAACCTTGTCATCTTCTTCTTTTTTTTTTAGAAAAAGTTAGATGGATTCATCTTGTCAAACTACTTTTTAGATATCTGAATAGCCTCTCCTCCACCCCAATTCATTATATAATCAAGGAAGATAATGTTAAGGAGCATCTCATATGACTTATTTTAGATATTTGCTTTCCTGTTACTCTAGAAGGGTCCATTTCTCACTGCTGACTATAAAAGGAGTTGACAGAGAGCTCATGTGCAGTTGTCTACACCTGATCAGTTGAATCTTTTCCTTGCTCCCTTACTATATCATACACTATCCTTGTTCGTTGTAGTTTTTGCTTCCTCATAAAAGTATTTGCTTAGATTGTTTTTTCTTATTTTCTACTCTCCTTTCCTGCTCATTTAATTTCCTTGCAATCTGCTACTACATGCCTTCACCTAAAGTATGAGTGCATTTTGAAGCGTTTTGATTCTCTACCAAGGACTCCCATCTCCTCCAATTTTGAAATGTCTTCTTAAAATCTTGTCTCATCATTATGTTTTCCCTTATTTCCCCCTACCTTGTGTTCTTTTGAAATTTATTGCACTGTGCAGTACCTAATCTTTCTTTGCACTGCAACTGTTCCCAGTTACTTAATAGGTGAAAGTTTTTATATACCAGGGTTGTAAAGTGCTATCAGAATTCATAGTAATATACTATATAGTATTATTCAAACAAAGACATAGAAAAGATGCTGAGGAGTTCTCACCTCTCTTTTCTCAACAGATCTTGTAATTTTTTTCTTCTTCATTTTCTTCTTGCTTTTGACTCTTAACTGGCTCTGGAAGCTCATTTCTGTTTTCTCCTGGCTATTACCTCATCACCAGTCTTGAATTAATCAGAACAGAGCTGAAGGGTAATAACAGATGGGGCAGAATAGCATCTTTCTTGGAGCTACAATGTCAAATGTAATAAGACGTGGTTTTACAACATGGTCAGTAGTGGAGAGGATACTCTAACAGGCAAAGTACTGACCTATGACTCCAGCAGGATTGAGTTTAATTCCCTGCTCTACAGGGAATGAATGGCTCTGGTGCCTGAGCCACAAGGCAGGGCGATTCTCAACTCTGTAGTGGACTATTATTTTTCGGTTTTAAAGTTCTGACTCTAAAATCCACAAAATTGTCAGATATTGTGACTGCTTGTGAATGAGTAAATAAAGCTGTGCCAGGGATTGATCCAGGGCACTAGGACTCTCTCCCTTATGCCACCAGACAATTAGAGCAACCTGGGCCTGGTGCGGTCTGGTACCCCCTGCCACTGTCCCAGACCATTCCCAGCCCTAGTCAGCAGGCACCCTTCTTTGGAGGGTAAGTGTGGCATGGAAAGACTGTGACGACTGGCAATGCTGTTCCATTTGGCCTTAGTGACAGGGCAGGGTCCTTCTGCTTACTACTACTAAGGGCACAGACTGTGGTGGCTCTGAAGGCTGTATCTGGGTGTCCCAGAGTCAGTAAAGATGCACTCTTTTAACTGTGCTCCATATTATATTATTCCATGATTTTAGAGTGCTACATAGCATAGATCAATAGCATAGCTCTATCCTCTGATATGTTCTGTAAAACAGATTAACAAGACCTGATAAATAATAACGCGCCTACAACAGCAGTTTAAGCCTTAGTTCAAAGAAACATCTTTCATCTTCAAGAAATTTTTTGGTAGAACTGGAACAGTAAAGAATCACATTTCCAAGGATCAAACTGTTGGATAATGAGATGAATAAGTCGTTTGCCATGGTTCATTAATAAACAGCTTTTTCGTCATTGGTCTAATGTTAGTAATTAAGAAATATATACTTATTCCTTGATAAAATGTTTTATTTCAGCTTGCCAAAGTTTTGCAGGTTTCTATCCGTCATTGGCTTATCTGCTCTTCTCCAAAGAAGTAATATAGCTAATTTTGCAAGTGGAAATTTCCATAATTCTAAAATTCCAGATGTTCAAAAGTGATTGCTTTTATTTTCTGTCAGAGTGGTTAGACATGCTTTTGTTATAGTAAAATTCGTAACCACATGCAAAACACAGGCGAAAAACAAGAAAACATCTTGCAGACAAAAAGGAAGGATAAGTGCAAACATATCAGCGATTTTTGGTTGTCCTAACATAAAAAACTCTCCTGAAGACGTTTGAGTTCCCCAAAGAGGTTTACTTTTAATGTGCAGATGAATCGAATGGCTGATAGGGAAACTGACACACTTGTTTGTGCATAAAAATAGAGGAGTAATTTTCTCCTTTTTGTTTGTTTTCAGTATAGTGGGTTAGTTCCACGAGAGAGCTGGGACATGTGGCATCCAACACTGGTGGCTGAGGCACTGTTTGCAATCGCAAACATCTTTAGCTCCCTACGCTTGATCTCATTATTCACTGCAAATTCTCACCTGGGACCTCTGCAAATATCTCTAGGAAGAATGTTGCTGGACATTTTGAAGTTTCTCTTCATATACTGCCTTGTGCTGCTAGCTTTTGCAAATGGGTTGAACCAGCTGTACTTCTACTATGAGACAAATGAACCTGACAGCTGCAAAGGAATACGATGTGATAAGCAGAATAATGCATTTTCAACGTAAGTGGCTGATCTATTTCTTCCTCTTTGCCCATATTGTACTCACTTAGATGCTGTCTTTAGGAAAGAGGCTGCCTTTTGGTTCTCTATTGGTATTACAGTGGCATCCTAACAGGCAGTCCCAGGAGTTACCAGAATACAAAAAATAGATATTAGTATTACATAAGTCTTTGATAATGTTCATCCTATACCACAACCTGAAGTCTGTACAGTTGAACATGTTTCCAAAGAGAAAAAATAAAATGGAGAGGAGGGGGAGACAATATGAGATTAGAGAATACATACTTAGAATTAAAAAAAAAAGTCACCAACTTAAAGTTCACTTGTCCAGGCAGCTGTTGGTTTGTATTTCTTCCATGTCTGCTTGTGGACATTAAATAAGGTTGGTGTTCGAAAAAATGAAGGTTCCTTGCACACCTGACAAAGTGAGGCTGAAAAAACATGTCTGTCCAGGCTTCTGTTGACCCTGAATCTCTTCCAAATACCCAAATGGTGTATTCTTGTTTCCCTTTTAAAGCTTACTTTTTCTTTCACTTCAAAAAAAAATTTACTTCATTGAATCTGTTCCACAATGCATTTTAGTACCAAAACACTATCGAATGAATACAATTTTTCTAACTGATCTTTCAACTTCCAATCTGATTTGAATTGTTAAAATAAACACCTGTTCCCTGTTCTGTGAACCCTATCTTGGTTGCTTTTAAAACATACTTGTTATCCATGGCATTCTTCTCAAAGCAAACAATTCTGTAAAAATAACTGCTTTTATATCACGTTAGTCAAGTAACTTTGCTCAAGCACAGCATATTTATCATTTTGCTTATTGACAACATCTTACACAGTTCTAAAGCCTAACTTTTGAGTGGCTATAGTTATGTGATCTGAACAGAGCAGCACAAGGCAGAAATCTGTCAGAGCTGACCATGGAGCGAAGCAATATTATTCGCATGGGAAATGAAAGGTAGTGAGGACACTCTACTGGGCTGTGTGGTAGTTACTCTTTGCAGATTATATCACATGGTGGGAAAAGGGCTGTAGCATTACATTTTGCCTGATTCTGCGTGTTGGGTTCCCCGTGTGCTAGATAGCATAGGGCCCTTGATAGGCCAGGGTTTGTACCTCAGACCGCCTGAGGTACAAGCCTCCTGCTGCTGTCCCCTGTGCTGGTGGGACGACAACACTGGCCTGAACATGCTCTCTCGGCTAATGTGCCTGCTGCTGGTGTTGACGGTGAAGGAGCAGGACAGAGGCCATGGGGAAAGACTCTTCCAGTGAATGTGCAATGTGAGATCAGACAAACAGAAAACCTTGCTCAACGCTTCTCAGGAGCAAAGGGGCTAACCAGGGCCCGTGTTTATCACACCGTAGTGCAGCTTGTACATTGTGAAAAAGTGACATTACGTCAAGTAGAGACTATTCTAAAGTTGGATATTGTTACTTAGCTTCCTAGTTGATGTCCCAGACTTCCCTAGAAGTATATTATATCATTCAGTTGTAAAAGCACAGTGTCATATGACAGAGGCATATTTATCTTTTTAATGTCTTCAGTCTTTACAAGATCAAATATATGCTAATGATAATAATGTCCTTGTAATCCTAGAACTCCTTTTATCTCAATGGCTCTCAACACACAGTTGAAATTGCATAAGTTGACAAAACCAAATATTTACGAGAATTCCCAAAATGTTTTAGTCCTCTGCAGAAAAACAGTCATTGAGCTACTTTAGAGGCCCTGTTCTACCCCCTAAAGTCCAGGCAAAGGGCACTTCAAAGATAAGTGTCCAAAATAAGATATCTGAACCTATATTTATCCCTCATAAGCTTCAATAGAATCATTCTTGCAGTCATATGCTTAGATATAGATTCAGTCATTGTAAATCTAAAGGCTCAGATTTGACACATTTATCTAGTGCTTCCCTAGAAAGCTATGTCCGCATATATTGCCTATATTGTGATGAATATCATCCACCTCAGTCAGTTGAAGGACTTTATGTGTCTGGGGAAAAAAAATGAACAATTTGGAAAATATTTTTATTACACAACTATTCCTTTTGGGTTTTGTTTTTTCAGATTATTTGAAACGCTGCAGTCATTATTCTGGTCTATATTTGGACTCATCAATCTGTATGTGACCAATGTGAAAGCGAGGCATGAGTTTACTGAATTTGTTGGGGCCACCATGTTTGGTACCTATAATGTAATCTCTCTGGTTGTTCTACTCAACATGCTAATAGCCATGATGAATAATTCTTACCAGCTTATTGCTGTAAGTTGTTCCTTATCCTTCGATCACTTTCAGTATATACCTGTTCATGCTCCTTGTTTTTCTGGTAGTAAATGTCTTTTAGGTACAGAATATATGGATAAATTCTCTGACATGCTCTAATTCTGTGACATTATTCTGGAAAGACAAAGAAACCAGACCACAGCTGGATTTGTCCAGATGTAAATTTTCCTTCACCATTCTGAATGGTGAAGAGGTGGTCCTGATGCAGAAGCTATCTTGTGGGTACAGAAGCATGTCTTGGAACTTTTGGCAAGTGACATAGGTGATAGCATTCTCCAAGCTGCAAAGTGCAGGGCCTGCCCTGAGAAACAATTTGCCACAGATGGTCCTGTCCCTAATTTATTTTTAATACTTTGTATTGATTAACCTTTAAAAGGCTATTATTTTCCCAGACTACACTTTATATCCATCAGTTTAATGTTCCGTTGGGATTTTTGTATGTTATGAATATACAGTGAATAGAAATTGGATACCCAGCTGGGCAGTTTTGGAAACTCCTTGACATTTCAGACTAATGTAACTGAGTCTTCTTTCCTTAATCCTTAACATATTTTAATTTTAAAGGCAAATTTGATGAAATATTGATAACAGGTTGAGACACTCAAATCTATCATCTATAGAGTATTAATCTACTCTCTCTAAAACCTCCTCTTTTTTGAATACAATTTCTTTCAGAAACAGTAAACTCCTGAGTTGGAGAGTATTGCTGAAACTACTATGTGAATACTAGCTGTATGAATTTCATGTAATCTCCTGCCAACTGGGTTTGCAAACGAGCACTGATGTCAGATTTGGTGATGACCTATCCACAAGCCAAACAAAAGGTCATGACCGCTCATTCAGCAGTCGCATTTTCTTGTTCAGTGAAAACTATCTTTATCCTTATCAGAGCTACTGTATTACTTTTATTTCTCAACTATCTATTAAAGAAATTAACGAGATTAAACATTGATTCTTCAAATGATACTTCAAATACGATTATGCAGAAAGCAAACAAATAAAAGAAAGACTCTTATTCCTAAGATTTTAAAATGTGGATTTTTTTTTCTAATCTGGAAAGAAATTATGAAATTTTCTACAAAAGAAATGTAACTACACATTTTTATGCAGTGTTAGTTGGCAAATTCTGGTACAGAAGATCATGATAGGCTGGTATTCATCAAAACTCACACTGCAGGTGGAATAGTTTTCCTACTAGAGCTTCAAAATTATTGATTATTGTATATCTAGCTAATTATTAAAAGCTAGGGCTAGATCTGTAGTTTAAGTTCTTGACTGCTATGTTTGTTGTACAAATCTAATAATAATGCTTTAAACTTTGTGTTCAACTGCTAGGATTTAGTAATCTTTTTTAGCCATGCTCTTTTGAAGTGGTTTTCAACTTTTCAAAAATTATACAATATTAGGTAGAATCAAAAAGAAAGAAAAATCAATTAAAAAAAAAAAACCTATTCCAAATACGTAACTCTAAAGTAGGAGAAAATGAAGATACTCAACTCATCATTTTAAATAGCTTCCTGATTTGTTGGACAATCTATTTGTGAATTTATGGGGCTTGCAATTACTGAGATAATGCATGAGACTTACAGACTTGTTGAAGTTGCTGCACAGCAGAGTAATTAGACTGATCTATGTAGAATAATGGCCAGAAATGTAGCATTTTTCTGCTTGTAATTATCCTTTGTTGTATGAGAGACTTTTAATTATTTAAAAGCCTCTTGCTAGGAAAGAGGCTGAAAGTGGATATATACTGTACAATACCCATAAACTCTCTTTGCTGGAGTAAAGCAGCTTAAGCTTTCCTTTGAGTTAAAGATTTTTCTGTCACAGAAAAGATGGAGGTATTTTAACAAGAAAATGCATTAGTATGTTAGGTTAACTCCAGTTATAGGTTATCAGACCTTTGTAAAGGTTTGTTTCGCTGCCTTAATCACAGCAATACGTGAGCCATTGTCTTGTGTGCAGGATCATGCAGATATTGAGTGGAAGTTTGCTCGAACAAAACTCTGGATGAGTTACTTTGAAGAAGGAGGGACTCTGCCTACTCCTTTCAATGTCATTCCAAGCCCAAAGTCCCTCTGGTATCTGATCAAATGGTTGTGGAGACATCTGTGCAAGAAAAAAAATAGAAGAAAACCTGAAAGTTTTGGAACAATAGGGGTAAGTCCTGTGTTTCCTCTGCTTGTAGTCCTCCTTCTTTCAGTATATGTAACTGTTTCTCAGCTGCATAGCGTTGGAAAGCCTCTGATCTGTCAAATAATGTGAATATGAGTTACATAACAATTCTGGCAGTTTATAGAAGTTCAGTGCAATGGCAAGAAGAAAACAAGATTGTGCCTTGTCTACAGGTAATGCCGGAAAGTTTAAAAGCAATATGAAAATCGGAGCTCAAATATTTATACATGCCTGCCAGTCCCAGAGGTCCTTAATGATTTCCAGGTCAAGTATGATAGTTCAAGTGATGCTGAAATATGACAAACCCACAGAACTTTATGTAAAGAATTTGTCATGGGTTTCTCTCTCCCTCTCCCTTGTACTCTCCCTCTTCCTATTTCTCCCTCTCTCGCCACAGGGTTTAGTACGAATAAATGTTTAAAGTCTGCCAGGAGCTCAGATAGAAAAGTATTAAGTGAGAGTATATGAGTCTCATGTGGGTAAAAGGAAGGAGAAAGGACTGTAGGCCTTATGCTGTTTTACCTGATAACAATTCATTTCAAAGAAGCCGGAGGATAAGACACAATGTTTTGCTAGACCATTACTGTATAGATCTTTCTTTCTTCTCTGTATTTTCTTCCTAGTATCTTGAGAAGTGAACTGAAATAAAGACTGTCCCTACTTTTTCTCCTGTCATATCCTGTCATTCAGTATAATCACAAGCTATACCTAGAGGAACAAGTTCACACAGGTATACAGACATAGATAAAGAACAAATGTGATGTATACAACTAATTCACATTTCCTAAGTTGATGAATGAATGTTGCCCTCTCTATGGAAAGATCCTAACCAGGCTTATGCCAGTATCCTGATCTTGTTGGGCAGTATCTACACTGAGAAAAGAAAATACGCTTGACTTAGCTGTCACATTTGTAAATAGGAAAGAGCCAGAAAAGGAAGCTTATAAGCATGAAGATGACATTGAAAAAAACTAGCAATACAACTGGGAAAAATATGAAAATTGATATTAGAAAAGCAATCAAGATAGTAAAATATTGATTTAGGTAGAAATAAAAATAAAGGACACTAACCAAGAATAAATGATGAAAAGCTTCAATAATAAAATATCACAATGTAACCTAGGGAGGGAAAAAAGCAAGTACAGAGAGAAACTAGAGGAAAAAATAGTGAGATTTTATTAGAAGGAGAAACAAATCAGGGGAGTGATGTACTTGCATGTGAGGAAGAATAGGCAGTGCTTCTAGGCATTTGTTAAGCATTTGTTAGGGATGAATAGTGAGTGTAGACTGATAGAATGATATTAAAATTAATGGAATGATGCCAATTTATAGCAGCTGAGCATCTAGAATGAGTTAACACAATATCTTTGTTTGACTGGGACAGATCCAGAATACCCTTGCACATCCCAACAAAACCTTCAGGATAATGTTTTCTTTCAGACTTTTTATCCAAGTTAAGGGATTTTTTTTCCTTTATTTCCCTCTCAAACCACAGCTCTAGCAAACTCATGTGAGGAGCAAACTCATTCCTAGCTCTGTGAAAGGAGAAAGAGAGAGAGAGAGACAGTGTCCTCTGTGCTGAATTACTCGACATGGCAAGGGGTTCAGAAAGATCGACCACTTTTTCCTGAAGCTACCTCTTTCTGAGGGGTATAAATACCAGCTTCTAGGAATCAGCAGCTTGGGTTTTGGAAATCTGCTGCAACAAAGGGTCAAAAGGCAGTTAGTCTGTACATAGAGTTGGTTGGGAATCTTTCCACATAGCTTTTTTTTTTTTTTAATCAGAAAAATACAAATTCCTCAGAACCAAAACTTTTCGTATATGTATACCACTTTCAGAGAAGCTTTTGTTGGGAAAGATTTTTCAGCTTCAGGATGGAATTTGTGATCAGAGAGAAAAAGAGCACATGCTAAGAATAGCAAATAGCTTGGGCTATGGGAGACCCACGTTTACCTCCATTCTCCAGTGAGTATTTAATTATTTATACCAAGCATAACAGCTCTGACAGGAGAGATTTCCCATCTCAAAATAGCTAAGACCCTGAGGGGAAAGGTGCTCTCTTGGGAGAACAGAAGAGAAGGAGTTGAACCTGGCCTCCCGATAAAGAAAGAAGCTAGCTCAATGAATGAGGGCTGCTAATTAGTGAACTATTGGACAGCAGAGGACATGGGAGAAGGAGAGATGTAGGATATTTTTATATTTGTATAGAGTAAAGTTCAAAAAATTTTGCTCGATGAGAAAAAAAAATGGCAAACTCAAAGTTCTGTGAGACAATACAACCATATTCCTCCCTCGCTTTCATTACAGAATAACTGTTTAGCTCTAAGTATAGCTGAAATTATTCTGAAGAAGCCTGCTCACCAGCTGAGCCGTCATGGCAACAAGAATTCCAGCTACCAGGACTGTGTGCGGCTGTGGCTGACCAGCCAGATTTACTCTATACATCTGGGCATCTCATAAAACTAGTAAATTCTTCAGCTAGCTCCTCGTCTATAACAGAAACCTGAATTAGGAACATTTTGCAATTTCTAGGCCCAGTTATGCCCAGGCTTCAAAATGGGGTAAGATCTGGGTATGCTCTATGCACCCTGATCTCCACGTACGAAAAATCTGTCCATACCTGTCACTTCAGAGCCATTACTCACTCCAGCAGTTATGTCTACACATGGTCTGGGTAGATATAAACCAGATGCTGCTAAGTGGATTTTTCCCAACAAAGACTTTAAGTTATTCGAGAAACAATGGAGACACCACAGTGATCTTGGAGTTTGTCCCAGGGGAATGTCCTGTCTTCTGGTTTTGAAAAGGTTATTTCCATCACCCACAGCTCAGCCTCCGGTTCCTAGAGCTTTGTCAATTATCCATACAAACTGTGTCAAGAATTAGATTTAGAATCTTTATGCCCTTGCAACTGAAGGGAAATTTTCTCTGCGTTTTGTTCAAAAGATCTTAGTTGACAGCTTTTTGACTAGAGGTCATTGGAATCTCACCAGTAATAATTCTGGCCTCAGAGCTACAAGAACAGATTTACTTGGACCTACTTCCTTTCAGTGAGTCTTGCAGTATGAACTCTGATACCTTCTCCATGCCCCATGTTGGGAATAAAAGCTTTAGATTCCATTTCAGGCTCACTTTCTCATATTGGCTAAATGGATGTATGGATACCATGTTGCCTGTGAGGTACAACTCAGATTTCAAAACATTTTGTTCTGAAATGTCTACACGCTTAGAGAGGAAACTCTAATCAGCAGTGATGTACTATGGTGTTTTCCGGCAGAAAAAGCAACAGTGGGCTTCCAAGAGTTGAGTCAGTGCTAAAGGATAGAAAACGGACGATACATAGCATACAGCTGGCTTGTTGTAGCCAGCATTTTTCAAAGATGGGCCATGATGCCTGAGTAAAAAAAATTAGCACCACCAAGCCAGAAATCATGAGTTAGAAATTAATCAAGAGTGTATAAATATGCTACCAAACAATCCACTGAAAAAAAATAAAAAAAAAGAAAAAGAAAAAGAAAAAAGAAAATAACGGCAGCAACAAAAAAAAAACACTTGAAAAAACTTGAAAAGACATTATTTGCATGTAGAACTGGTAAAGAAAGGATTCAGAGTCAGGATCACTTAAAGCAGGCATGCCAGTGAAAGGATTTATATGGCTCATACAAAGAAGAAAAATGTCAGTAGAGATAACTATAGCAGGATCACTTGGGAGGACCATCTACAATGCTGTCAGAGGAAAGAACAGTGTCTTCAGGGAAGTGAGGTGCCTCTGAAGAGAAATGACTAATTGCATTCTCCTTAAAAGTCAGTTCTTTTTATTTCTGACATCCTTTGGTGTGCTGGGACAGCTGAAGCAGTGGGGTGGTGGAGTCAAAGGTGCCCTTCTCAACTGACAGGACCCTTCTCTATAGCAGCAGGCTGCCCAGCCATGCTGATCAGAGATCCTGTAGTCACAGGTTGCTGATGGCGCAGGAAGGCTGGGATGTTCACATGCAATTTACTAGCACTTCAGCTCTGTTATTAATCAAAGCGAGATCTTTTCCCTTTTCATATTTCAGCACCTTTTTATTTTCTGTCATTTTGGCATATTCCAGGTGTATGCAGCATTCTCTTTAGCTATTATCACAAAGTATCTCCTACACTTAAAACACTGAAATAACAGCCTGTGCTGCTCTTTAAGCTATATATAATAGCTCTGCTAACTTTGTCAGCTCACCTTTGCAAAAGCCAGATTAGTAATGCAATTCTATTGGCTGAAGTTTTCCTCACTACTCAATGTTTTTGGGTGTCTCAAGGCTACTCCCCTTGGCCATCTGAAATCCATTCCTACTTCCAAAAATAAGACATATAAGAAGAGAATTCTAAATCTCAAATGGAATAAATTGTACTATTTTCCTCAAATTACATTCCATTTGTGTCTGATCAATTGCCAAAAAGGGACATCCCCTTAGCTGGGGATATCTTGAGTATTTTCTTGTGCAGCTAATGTTTAAATAAACAATTACCTCTTTTATAGCTATCCATTTTTTATGTCATTTTCTGAAACACTCTACATGATAATGGTTATGATTTGTCATAGAAAATCTTTCTCTTGTCTTAGCCTTTTTCTGTAAGTGAAAAATGATGTGACTTCTAAGTCAATACAATTATTTTATATTTTCTCTGTAATGTATATACAATATTGAAAATTTAAAGAAAAAATAACTCTTTCCAGCTGGAAAGAAAAGGAATAATGTGGAGCCTGTTCACTGTGTAGCGAAAGACTGACCCATGGGGAGGCCTTGTTGATAACACAGATGAGTTCTTACCTTTTTCCAGTGATGCTTCCATTCAAGCCAAGGAACGTATCCCATGACTTCAGACAATCTTTACATTTTCTGGACCTTTATCACAAAGTTCTTTGAGGTCGAAGACACACATTAAATTTGAGCACTTCATTTATAAAGGATATATTTTTGATAAGTCACAACAAGAAAGGAATTTAACACTGTTAATTTTTGAAAGTTAAAGAGATTTTTTTTTTTCCAAACAGTACAAATTGCTAGCAACGGCATACACAGGAAGACTAAAACGATTATCACTACTAGTAAAAATATTGTTAAAGCTTCCTAAAGGAGATGAGTGCCCCCTTTTGATAAGTGATAAAAGATAAGTACCTCCCTTTAATTTCGTGATCTCATACAATATTGTCACCAGGAGACTGTGTCTTCCTTCCATTACTATTTTATGGGCAGATTTAACTTTTATTCCTTTATCAACCACAGTTTTCAGCACTTCTTCATGTACATAGCACAGTGGTTATTTGAAACAAATTGGAGCACCCACAAGTTAGGCTATGAGCAGGTAGAGAAAAAACATGTAATTGAGAGCTAAATAAGGAAGATATGAGAGTTAATTAACAGTGAATACCTTAATTTTCATATATGCTTAAGCAAAGTTTTATTATGCTTTGAGAAGGAAGCCAAAGGAGATTATGAGCCAGAGATTGAATTTGAACATTTAAATAGGAGACAGAGAGCTGATGGGAACAAATTTGATGGGTTATGTTCATGCATATTTGCCTGTGCAGTGTGCATGTGTCTGTGTATGCACATACACCATTAGATTCATTCTTTTGCATCTTCTCAGTGCTATGAGTTGAACACAAATGTAAGTGCAGTGCAACTGTTCTGGACACTCAACTACACAGATACATTTGTTTGCATACTCATCAAAAATCCCAGTTTTTGACTTTAACCCTAAAAGCCACAGCTTCTGTTTCTGGGAGTTTCACAGTTGGTTTGTAAAAGCGGTAAATCAGATTTAGCTTCTGGTTATGGGTGCAGAATTTAAACCTATGCATTTATTTTGCATTTCACTGTAAAGTAAACCAGAGTAGACATCTACAGAAGAAAGTATTCTGCAAGATAAGAGTCAGTATCTGTTTTATTTATTGGAATTATTAGCTCTACCTGAACTGAAGTGTGTTTCAATTACACTTTAAAGTGTTTTTCCCTTTACCTGTGAAGTCAGATTTGCTATTGCATGCTCTTGTGTTCCTCCGACTCGTGTTCTCTCAGAAGGAATGAAACACCTCCATCGTGTGGCCAGCTGTGAAACATCAGAAAATTAAAACTCGTTAACAACTAGTGGAAGGAAGATGTTGGTCTTCCCAGCGCTGACTTGCCCTCTCTGGACATGTGGGGATGGATAGGCACTCCCTTCCCCTATTAAACACAATGAGTTTCCACCATCTCTTTGAGTGGATGACATAAGATGCAGAAACATGATCTGGAAAAACACTGAAATCAGATGCTTAGTCATATGAAACCATTCTGCTTCAGAGCAATTAGGAAATATTGGTGTTTCTCTTTCTGTTCATTTTTTCCAAGCCCAACCATAGAGCTACCTCATTCCTGAAATTAATTGCAAACAAGAAAACAACCGTAAAGTGGAAACCAATTCCCGGTACAGGAAAATTGTTAATCAAAAATAAATTGCCAATCAGTTTCAAGTAAAAGAAGATGATAAAATACCTTACTGAGCCTGCCTCATTATGCAACTGAAGTCAATTTTATTGAGTCCTTCAGATTTAATTTGTTCTGTTTTGAGGTGCCTTAAGTGTTTTGCCTTGTGGAAGTGCAACCAACACTTCTCTTGCCAGTAGGGGCTATAAGAAGCCAAACAAAAATAGTAAGTTTCTCTTTCACCAATCAGGGATAATTGAGGTAGAGAGTAGAGATGTGGTGCAATATGTTATTGAGGACAGCAGTAGTTCATGGACTAAGTTATTCAGAGCTTTTTTTTTTTTTTTGGAGATCCCTTAGATATGGCGGTATAATCTCATGGGACGTTTTGTCATAGACTTTACTGTGCTTTCATCTTACCAAGCTTCTTTTTGCTGTTCTTCATCAGAGTTACTATCCCTCTTATCTCTTCCTCCTTAATAACACTAAACTCTGCTTTGGACAGCTAAGGTTCTCTCTTCCATACCCCTCTGTGTGAGCAATTGTTTTTTAGCAGCTAACTAAGCAGGAAATTCTCTCTCTAATATAATCATACTCTTCTGCAAACTTTGAATAGTTCTATCTTAAATGAGACATTAGGAAACATTCCCAGTGTTTTGCACACACCATTTTTATGTTGAGCTCTTCTCAGTTCAGTAAAATATCCTTTAATCTGTGCAAATGAGTGAAATGATCACGTTGTTCTCCTTCAACTCAGATCAGTGACTTTGGGCTCTGCAAGCATAGACCTGGCCTCCCCACCACTCCATGCCAATGCTGGAATAGCAGCACGTTGATGAAACTGCAGAAAATCCACTTTGCCTTTCCAGTGACAACAGTCTCCCTTCTGTATAGCAGATGATAAGCTTCGCTCCAACACAACCACTTTTCATACTTTGTACCATCTCTCTCAGCTTGCTAGATACCATAAACTGCACAGACCTGCTGTTTTGCCATGCTTTAAATATTTCACTACCGCTGCAATCAGGGAATCATGCTTTTTGTTGTTTTCTTGTCTTTTTTCAGAGGCGTGCTGCTGACAATCTAAGAAGACATCATCAATACCAGGTAAAGGCTTGTGTTTACATTTTGTGCAATTTTTTTTTTATGCCTCCAAAAAGATCTTTGGGATCATGCAGGGGGAGGAAGGAAGGATTTCCCCAGAAAGAAACAAAAAAACCCTAAACTTAATTTATCTTCAGCAAAAGAGTGCAATATTTTTGATGATGAAACAACAGCGTTCGGGAGGTAGGGTTGTCTATTTAGAGTAATAATACATTCATGAGTATTTTTCCTGTTGTAAAATAGATTACCTCTACAAAAACAGATAGTCCCATCTCCCTGCCTGAGATTCAGCAGCACCGTAGTTTAGTCTCCCACATACTATTGCCCCTTAATAATGCCTCTGTCTAGATCCCATGTAAACTATTCTTCCTCTGATTCCTTCCTGCTTCAACCTCTTGTGTTTTTTTTGGGGGGGTAGATTATTTAGTTTAGGGATTATTTTCAGATTTATATTCTATTACTGTTGTGTTAAAAAGGGTGCAAGCTAGCCAAGATGTAGGTCATATGCTTGGAAGTTTGGCAATAAATAAATTACATATGAGAAATGACTGTGTAAACTGAGACTTTCCAACCTGAAAAAGAGACAGCTGTGGAGAGGATAATAGGGGTCTATAAAACAACGGAGAAGGTGAAGAAAAAGCAGCTGTTTAGCATCTCTCTTCAAACCAAATACCAAACTGTGCTACATTGCTAAGACTGTAGGCAGCAGTTTGAGAGAAATGATTATTCTCTTCTGTTCAGCAACAGTTAGACTGTATCTGAAGCACGCTGTCCTGTTTTGGGCCCCCCACTACAAGAAAGATGTTGACAAATTGGAACAAGTCCAGTAGAGGGCCACCAAGATGGTTAGAGGTCTGACATAAAAGGAGAAGTTGAGATCTGTTTGTTCAGCCTGGAGTAGGTTAAGCAGAGATCTAATTACTGTCTTCAGTTACGTAGTGGGTGGTTACAGAGAAAATGGAGCCAGATTTTTCTTGGAGGTGCACAGCAAAAGAACAAGAGGCAACAGACAAAATTTACAGCAAGGATAATTCTGATTAGATGTAAGGAAAATTGTTATCACACTGAGGGTAATCAAGGACTGGAAAAAGTTGCTCGGAGAAGCTGTGGTATCTCCACCCTTGGAGATATTCAGCGCTTGACTGGACAGAGCCCTGAGAAATCTGACAGAACTTCAGAGATAGTCCTGCTTGGGATGGGGGCGTCAACTATATCACACAACCTCCAAACATCCCTTCAACTTAAATAATTTAATGATTCTTAGAAGCAGAAGGTATCAAAGGAAATAATCAGAGAACGGGTTAAAAATAAGCAAAAGTCCAAAAGGACTCTATTCCATCTGTACCATGGAATTCATTGGCAGACAACTTGTGGATGCTGAGAGTTTACATGAGTGCATAACAGACAGGGAAAACCTGTCACAGATCATTAAACCTAAAGCTATCATTTTTGATTCAGGAAGTCCCTGGATCTCAGATCACAGGAGGCTTGGGAGAATAGAGCTGGAAATAACATCATATTACTTATATGGCTTATACTCCTCATGAGGCACCAGTAACTGATCACTGTCAGAGGGCAGGATACTGGCATGAGATATACCTTTAGTCTAACCCAATACACCCATTCTTAGGATAATGAATATCACCACTTTCAATCAAAAAGCATGCCAAATCTTTAACCACATCAAACGTTTGTATCTTTTTTGTCATGTTTTTAAAAAAAGCAAAGAAGTCAAGCAGGCTCAGTAGGTTTAGTAACTATTACAAAGAAAACTAACACAGTATTTTATATTTTTAGGAAGTTATGAGAAATCTGGTTAAGCGATATGTTGCAGCAATGATAAGAGATGCCAAAACCGAAGAGGGACTGACAGAAGAAAATTTTAAGGTATATATTTATTTACATGTTAATTGATGTTTTAATAAGATATTAGATAACTGCGAAGCACATTTCTCACCGTACTCAGCTGTATAGGTAGCATTAAACTTTCTTCTTAGAGCAGTGTATGTGTCCTGATGGACCACACACAGATATTATTGTACATGGACTCCAGCAAGTCTCCTTTTTCCCTTAGCTAGAGAGAAAATCAGTTTATCAGCTAGTTCGAATTGTGCCTATGTAAAGGAATGCCAAAGTGGGATAAGTATGTGTAACAATACAGTTGCTAAAGCAACTGTAAAGATGCAAATACTTTCAGCACTTTAGGAAATGTGCGTTATCTGCTATAGAGTGCTGTTGTGCATTTGTATATGGAATATCTTTTCTGTGGCTGATGTAAACCTTAAATAAGCAGTCAAATATTAAAATATATTGACAAAGATGACATCATCAAGGTCATATGAACCACAACTTTTACATCCATCACTGTAAATTTCTAGCATCAAAGAGTTTTCTTACCATTGGTTCCCCAAACGTCAAATATCATCCAAAATGATATTAATCTGCCACAGCTTAGGCACTCAGAAGACAAAGTCAGAGTCTTAGCTAGTTGCTCCATTGTCCCTTTACAGAAGATGAAGAGAAATAGGCATCTCCTGAATGTGATGTGTCTTCTCCTGAGACAGGCATTTAAGAGATTCCACTGACATAAAGGCGGCCTGGGATAATTAGCTGTGTCCAGCTACCAAACATGTAGGGTAAATGAAATAAATCCTACCTGCAGTTCCTGTGTGCTACTCACAGAGAAGTGTGCATACGTGTGTATATGCATGCAAGTGTGCGTTTGTGGGTAGAAGGCTGTTAACAACTAGTCAAAATGCTGCATTTATAATAGGGTAACACTATCTAGTACATTGGCTGTACGTCTTCAAGTTATTCAGACTCCTTCCTCTACCACTGTTGGTGATTTCTGTGAGTAGTCCGAGGCAACCCACATTTCCTCTCAAGTTTCCCCCTGATAAAATTGCTGATCAGTTTTCTATCTCACCTGAAAGTGGTGAGGATCTATTAGACAGAGTACCTTGCAAAGTACTTTGAAGATGTCAGGCATCATCCATATGTTGAAATTTACTTCTGATGCCTAGCATAATTCTTTTTCATCTTTTTTTTTTAGTTACAAGAAGAAAAGTCAAATGAGATTTCATACTCTAATGTTTTCTCTTTCTTCCTAATTCGTAGGAGTTAAAACAAGATATTTCCAGCTTTCGTTTTGAAGTCCTAGGTTTGTTAAAAGGAAGCAAGCTATCTAATTTGCAGAATCCAAAGACAAACAAAGAAGCTGCTTCGTCAGAAACTGAAGAAAAGAGCGATAGTGAGGGAAACAAGAAAGGAAAGAAAAAGACCTTCAGCCTTTTTGACATAACAACGATGATTCACCCAAGATCAGCCACTATTGCTTCTGAAGCACATAATGTAAGCAACGGCTCAGCAATGATGGTATCGGAGTCCACCAAGGAAAAACAAAAGCGGGTGAATTTTGTAACAGACATAAAAAATTTTGGGTTATTTCACAGACGATCAAAAACAAACTCTGTGGAGCAGAGTACAAATAAAATATATACTGTTTCTGAAGAAGTTTCCCGTCAACAGGCAGAAGAACAATGTGAGGAAACTGCTGAACTGGAAGAAGAACTGACCATGAGCTGTGAATTAAGCATCCAAAGTCCTGATGGAAAGTGCATGTTAGCTGAGTCGCAAAAGAATAGTGACTCTTCAGATTCAGAGGATGAGGGAAGTGTTTGTGCTTCAGAAACTGAAAAAATGGAGTTACAGAACTCAGAAACAGAAACACCACAGGATCAGCTGGACAAGGAGCTGGACATTGACTGCGCTGAGAAACATGAAACAATTGATCAGGGCGACTACGTGATAACAAGGTTGTGACGTCTATAGGAGGAAGTATTTACAAATATATATATTTTGCATAGTGCTTTTTGGGGGAAATGTGTTAAGAATTATATTAGCAAATGCAGAATTACACTTTATAGTACTCAACTGTGGCACATGATCTTGTAACATAGTAGTCAAGAGAAAGATAATAAGGGGACCTTCTGTTTTGTAGCCTGCTTTAGCTTTCACAATTTGTTTTACATTTTTTAATAAATGGAAGCATCTTGTATTCTTGTACTGTTGCAATAACCCACAGAAACTTTTTAGTGATCTTTTTCAATTACAACAAATGCAATTTCTCTCCTATGATAGTTGACTCCTATGATAAATATTTTTCTATGCAAATAAAAAGTAGCTTAAGAGACTTGTAAGCCTTTATTTAACTTTGTAGATTCCTAAAGATTCTGGGCAACATAATAATCCTAAAAAGTTCTTTTCAACATAATACATATTAATCTATTAGAATCATATATTTAAATTGCTAGAAAGTTGGTTTGCTTCAAAAGCTATAAAGAATGGAAACAAAGTATATTCTTTTATTTATTGAAAGAACATGAATACCTGTAAATTATGAATGATTGCTCTATTTGATTATTTAATTAAGCCTCCCCTTGCACCAATAGGATTATGACTTTCCTGATACTGTTTTTAGAAATGCATTTGCAGGATTTGGAGATTGTAAAAAAATATTTCTTTCCTTATAGTAGGCTTGCTAAAAATTGATGACGGATTATTCCCCAGGAATCCGTAATCAGAACAGCTGCTGCTTCGTCGAGTATTTAATTTTCCAAATGTGGACAACCTATGCACTTTAATGTTCAACTGCTTATTAGCTTCTGCCTTCACACTACACTTATATTTGCTAAGAGCAAGCCGTTTTGGGAATAAATAGGCAATGACCCCCAGAGTACTTGGAAAAATATGGTAATTTGCTGAGAAGTTTTTAAAGGTAAACCTTAAAAGAGTTTCTTTGACAGTTTCAGAATTTGGGAGAACCTGATTGGAGGTTTTATAACAAATATTTAGACATTTAAATGTAAAAAAGAAAACAAAAACCCTAATAGTATTATAGTATTTTTCATAACTGATGAGTGACTTATTGTCTTAGTCAAAAACAGTATTTTTAAAATTAAACCGTCTGTTTCTTTATAACCTGTGACTGGTGTCCTACATTATTAAAAATGTAAGTTCACAACTGACCTGAGAAAGACCACCCTCCAACTCCCACCACCATTCATCCCCTTTCTCCTCCCACAGAAATGTGATTATATTGCAACAGTGTGGTCATTTCACTCCTAACTTCCATAGTCTTGCTATGATACATTTTATAGTTCATATTAGCCTATATTAAAGGTCCTCTACTTACATAGAGTACGCTTACATCCTATATCCCTACCACTATAAAACAGACATGAAATGAGGACGAAGCAGGTGGAATACATGACAGGTAACTCCCACCTTGTAGGAGCTGATCTGAAGCCGTAGTATTCTGGATCTAAACTATCCTGGTACTGAACAGAGTTTTGAAAACACAAGTAAACCCCTCCCATCTCTTTACTTCTGGATGAGCTTCCCTGCTCTACTTTACACATGCTATATTCCTTCTGAGATCACATACCAAGAGCTTCTTTCCTTTATATCTACCTATGCCATGACACCTAGGAGTGGATTAGTTGAATCATGATGGAAAGTGTGAGAGGTAACTCTGAAATAGTTTGTATAGCTTTGCAAAAATGCATTCACACTACATCTGATTACTAAGATATGATTGATTTCCACCTCAACTTCTTGACATTTCTGTGGACCCCCTCTCCTTCACTTCTCTCTACTTGTCCCTCTTTAGATTGTGAGCTCCTTGGGGCAGGGACTGTGGCTTTTGTTTGGGAAACACCTGGCTTATTATAAGCGTAACAAGAAATAAATAATAATAATAATGGTGGAATACATTCATATCATTTCTACTAGGTCAGCCCTTTTAAAGAGTATTGGGGTCATTCTCTTTTATATGGTAATGTTTGTACTAAGAATGACATAAAACCAATGTGCCACATGCAAATTTTGCTACAAAGTTTTCCATATTCTAATTTACCATCTTTCTCCATTACTGATTCCATGAAACATTCACATCACATTTTATAAACCACCCAAAAAGACAGTCGTATGAAATAGAGCTTACAATCATGTAATGTTTCAAGGAGTTAGAAAGTTTTCCAAATTCATTTTTAAAAAAGATAACTTTTGTTTTTCGGGTTTGGACAAAACCTAACTGCCCTTTTCATTTTCATTAGCTTCTGGGGAGACCAACAGTGTAGACAGCACAGAAGGACCCTGGCATAGCTGGCTTGAGTTCTGGCACCCCAGTCCTCCCAAGCACAGTGGGCCTGAACCAAAACCAATGGAAGTAGATGTGTTTATCCAGGCTGGTTTGGCTTTTGCTCTCTCCAACCACATACTGTTTTGCAGTCAGAGGTCAATGCCTGGATGCTGTGCCATCAAAAGGAGATTGCAAGAGCTGCTTCTGCCTCTGCTTCCCCCTGGGAAGCACTTTGCATGCTTCACTGTGCCATCAGGGTGGTCCTCGATGGCACAGCAGCAGTGGGAGTCCTGTATATGCATGAGTCGAGTTTAGATTGCATGGTGCTGGGAGCAGGCAGCAGGCCACCGTGAGGTCTGTGTGTGGTATGATACCACCAGCGAGCAAGCCAGGCATCTCTCAAATAGGAGCCATGGCTCTGCAGCTGGGTTTAATCTTGTTTTCTCGGTCCGCAAAGTGACGCCTTTACATTTTGACACACATTTGGTATATACTAAATGTCTCACACATACTGTTTATATGAGGCATTTGGCACAAAGCACCTCTTTATTTTCTTTGTTTTGGATATGTCAGGATAAAATGAGAAATCCCACAAAGACTCCCCTATTCTAAGGTTGTATGTGAGTAAATAGTGACCAGTTCTAGGGGAATATAAATCTTCATGATAGCGTTAACTGTTGAGAGCTGTAAAAGGTGTAGAAATGCTGATATTTGGACACTCCGAAGCTCTTAAATAGAAAGTTCAAAAAAAAGAGTGTCTTTCTTTTGGATCAATCTTTCAGGGAGCGAATTTCTACAGTTTCTTCACATAAATATGATATAGACACGAGGCCAAGAAGGCCAATGGTCTCCTGGGGTGCATGAGGCAGAGTGTTGCCAGCAGGTGGAGGGAGGTGATCCTGCCCCTCTCCTCAGCCCTGGGGAGGCCTCCCCTGGAGTCCTGTGTCCAGTTCTGGCCTCCCCAGTACAAGAGAGACATGGCACTCCTGGAGAGAGTCCAGCGGAGGGCTACCAAGATGATTAGAGGGCTGGAGCACCTCTCCTCTGAAGAAAGACTGCAAGAGCTGGGCCTGTTGAGCCTGGAGAAGAGAAGATTGAGAGGCGATCTCACAAACGTGTATAAGTATCTGAAGGGAGGGTGTCAAGAGGATGAGGCCAGTCTCTTCTCTGTGGTGCCCAGCAACAGGACAAGAGGCAACGGGCAGAAACTGAACCACAGGCAGTTCCATCTGAACCTGAGGAAAAACTTCTTCACTGTGAGGGTGGCAGAGCACTGGCAGAGGTTGCCCAGAGAGGTAGTGGAGTCTCCTTCCCCGGAGATATTCAAAACCTGTCTGGATGTGATCCTGGGCAATATGCTCTAGAGGAGCCTGTTTGAGCAGGGAGGTTGGACTAGATGATCTCCGGAGGTCCCTTCCATTTCTGTGAAGACACAAAGAAGCCATTATATATCTGCCTCAAATTCTACTATGTTTGAATTTCAGGCTAAAATGTCCCATTTCCTCTCTATATCCCAGCTGAATTAGAGTCTAGAAAGGGGATGTAGGGAGGATAGAAGGGCAAAGAAAGGAACTAAGTCTCAATGAATGTTTAAAGATAGTAATGAGGTGAATCATTTTTTGTATGCAATTCAAAACATTTCCATAGCATCAAGTTTTATAATGGGAATGTAGAGATACAAGTTCGATAAAAATGTAAACCATCTCCATTTTAATGTCTCCTGAGAGATAACAACAGCTTTAGTGAGTAGAGCAACCTCACACAAATAATAGCAATAACAGTAACAATAACAGTAATAGTAGTAACAGTAATAATTAGAAGAAAATAACAATCCTGAGCATTAACCTGGGAAGCAGAGCTCCTCAGTTCTAATCCCTACTCCAAAGATTGCCTGTGTATTCCGTTTTGAACAATTATTTGATCACACTTATAAGCTCTGTTTGGGGCATGAACTGGAACTCAAGATTTCTGTTTCCCACACAAGTGCTCTAATCTCTTGACTAAAAATTTTACTTCCTAATGTTTCACCTCTTACTAGTTGAAACTTCATTTATGAACCCTAGCATCACTGCAGCAGGTGCAGATTAGTGGTCCTCCAATACAGTTTGTGGTTAAGTAGTTGGACATTCTTGAAAATAAATTGCTGGGAATGAGTTTGAATCCTCAAAATATGAAAAGGAATTGAACCCATGTCTCCTACATCAAATCTAGTTCACTAACCATTAGATTTAGTATTTAAGAAGCTGCCGTATTTAGATAGGTGTCAAAGAATGGAGCAAAGATGGCTCCTCTTCACATTAAAATAACAAAAAACAAAGTCACAGCCTTCTACCTTCAGGAGTATAGGAGTGTAAGAGAGTTCAGCCATACACTATACTTGGCTTCCATCACCAGCAATTCTATCACATAATTCTCTTTCTAAATCAGTCTAATCCTCCTCTTGGAAGGAATTTCAATGCTATATTGTTTTTAAATATAGTTATGAAATGTTTATACTCATACAGAATTTTTACTGCTTATATTCATACTCTTAGGGTCATCATTGTCTTTTAACTTTATAGTTTTTCTCTGACTAATATTGTTACTCTGACTGTACTTTCCTTCCTCAGCCTTGGGTTTCTTTGGGTTTAACCTAAGCAAAATATGCTATTTTCATTTTCTCTGATACTTTCAGTTCTCTTTAGTTCTGCTCATTTGTGTTCAGTTACAATCAAGTGATGTACAGCATTAGGTGTGGCAGTGCTCAGTATTGCTGTGGCCCTGCTAAGCCTTCCTTCAGCCCACTGTCGTCTAATATTCTTCCACTGTGCAAAAAGGTTGGTACATTCAGAGGTCTTACCATTTCAAACACCCACCTTAGGATTGTTTTGGGGAAAGATCTTCACTCCCTTCAAGTATTTTAGAATGAGCTTAGATAGCTAGCTATGTCTAGACACCTAACTTTCCAATAGCTAATGTTAGATGAAAAGAGTAGTAGTCCCACAGTGTGTTTTTTAACTATATTTTCTCTCATCTCTTTTCTTTTTTTCCTAGCTTTCTGGTAATAAGGTCTTTTTAGGGAAATAAATTCACTACTGTATTTTATATCAGAGTTATGCTTGCAAATAGGAACAGATGGAGTGTTCAAGATATAATATTTTGGCTTCCAGGAACACTGTGCCTCTAAAGAGGTTACCATTACTAACATTCTCTAGTCCAGAAATTAGTAATATAACCTCACACAAGCAGAAGTCATGAGATATTACTGCATGAGTGCAAGAGTTAATTCACAGTGGCTTGCATATTTTTTATTCAATAAAATAGAAGTAAGAATAGCACCACCTATATTTGTTTCATAGGCTCAAATTTTAACGTATAATAGGCATTAACAATAAACTATTTCAGGAATGTTTAAACAAGCAATAAAAGTCCACTGTTGCTGATGAAGATAAAATTTTAGAAACCCAAGCGTTCAATTTTAGCAGCTTGGTGAAAAGAGTTTTTCTCCTCACAGACATGTAAGAGAAAATCTTTACAGATTGAAATATTGTATCTTAAAGCTCCGGTCACCATTTAAAGAAACAAACCATGCAGACTTCAGAGCTTTAGGATTTTTTCCTCAGTAAAATCAATACCCTTAGTGCATCTGAAAACATTCAGCTACCTTTCATGAATTTAATGGACAGCATGGATTGCTCCTTAAATGTCGCCAAGTGACAATAATACCTGCAAAATAACTCATTCTAGTTAACCACTAATGCTTTAAGTATGCAAAATATAATTTATAAGAAGGGAGATGCATACATCATTTTCTGAAACCGTCAAATGTGGCTTTAAATAAATACTGTAAGTGCTAATCTCTTTGAATGTGCATGAGTAATGTCTTCCACAAATGCTCACTTCTGCAATAACTTTCATTCCTTTCTCCTCCTCCAATCCCTGATAATTTTTTTTATACAGAGAACATGTCTCTACATCAATAAAAATAGGTACCTTACATTTTTCCACTATATGTTTCTAAAAGTAGATGGTAAGGCCCAATAGTGCAATGTTTTACGTTGCATCATCTGCAGTCTAACCTGGGATCTTGTGTCCATATAATTACGGGATAGATTACTAGGAAATATCTCCAGAAGTTTTGTTTGGATGAATTACATGTAATACTGAGATATAACATTCAGTCATAACATAAACATGAATACCCACATACAGATACCAGAGCATGGAAATCAGCTTCCTGCATGACTAATTTAACTGAATACAGCTCTACCCCAAGAAAAAGTAAGTAGAACAGAAAATTGAAAGAGACACTCTTAATGAAATTAGACTTGGTGTTCATTAGTATCCTCAGTTCCCTCTATTCTTATTAGAGTAAAATTAAGGTTTCTGACTATTCAGCATCCATTTTTTTTAATTTTACAGTTGTTTTCTTTGTTTACTTTGAGGGACAGCCAAACTTTGTATTTAATAGATAATGAAAATTTAATTGAGACACTATAAATCAGGAGATCATTTGGGGAAACCTAATCTGAAGGGTGGTCCCACTGCTTTTATTTTCATAAGATTGTAACCCTGCAGGATATAAAAACTCCCTGCCCATTTTCCAAATGAATTTACAGT